TCCAGGCGTTTTAGTAAAGCATTCAAAAAAAATAGGGGCCACAGGAAAGCTAAGCATAAAGTTAACATATATTTATTTATGTTTGCAGCGAAAGCTAACAATAGCTATATCTTTCCATTTATTAACTCTTGGGAAAGGGGTAAAATTAAATTTTTTTTGAGAGAAATAAGTACACATATTGGAATTTCACTAACTCATAATTTAATCAAATATCTAATATTTACCCATCACAATTCAAGTCACGCACGGCGCGAACTCCCGAACAATGTCCACTATTAGCATTACGGATTAATTTTACAGATATTAAGGATTCAAGCTGAAAACTTAAGTTTGTATGTGCCAACTTGCACTATGTGCTAACAACCACTTTGCATAGTTGCGATTTTTCATATTCTTCTTACAGCACTGTAGAATTGAGGCAGGGTTAATGGTTTAGTATCAGACCAGTTGTTGATCCTAGACCGGATCGGCCCAAAGAAAGGGCGCACGTGATATGAGGCCGTGCACGTGCTTTGAATTAAAAATCACTGCACGGCTTAGCTTGTGGTTTGGCCTTGGTGAGGATAACATAGTAACTGGATAAGCCATTTCAGAATGAGTGAAAAAACTATGAACAGTCACGAAATGGTGTTTTTATACTCGTTATTGAAATTGAACCTGGGATCAAACGGGCATTCTATGACGGAATACGTGTCACTCTTTGAAGGCAAGTTGACAGACCCACGAGTTTTTTCGGGGAGAAAAGAATACATTTTGTTACTTGTTTATCGCAAAGTTGAAAAATTAACCCTGTGGTAAGGTTCTCATTATGTTACGTGCCGTCTCCATGCAATTTCTCTCGGTACATTCAACTTGTGATATAATCCGGGCGAGATGTTGAAATCCCTTCCTGATGTTTATTTTCATATCGCGTATTTAGAACGTGCTAGAATGTTTATTTTCATATCGCGTATTTAGAACGTGCTAGAAGGTTCTTTTTCTCACAACTATTTTTCTATCGGACACGATACAGGGACCTTCTGCAGAGGATCATCGCCTGGTCTCTTCCAGTCGCTAAAAAACAAATTGAAAAATAAAATGAGATAAAGAGAACAAAATCGATAACAAAAATTTGGAAATGTGTACCTGTTATGTCGACTTTACTGTAAGGCCTTGCTCATGCCACCTAGGATCAGCTTTTAAACAGCTTATAACGATGCTCTGGGACCTAAAAAATTGCACAGGAACCGGAAACCACTTTTGGCCTTGTAGCTTCCACTTTACCCTTTCAACTTTTAACTCTCTAATACTCGTAAATAAAATGAAATTCACAAGTGGGAAGATACTTAAACGAATTCGAAGTTGAAAAAATCTTCTGCATGAGTGGCTTACCGGTGAGTCTCTTCTCGATAGTTAAAGGTTTCTTCATGTGTAAGCATGCTCTTGTATTTGGCATAAACGCCTTTTTCTATTCAATTATCAGTGTCTTAATGATCTAACTCCCTCAAACGACGATCTAACCAGCTCAGAGAATATAAGTTTCTTAACTGAGACCAATTGTCAAGCAATAAACAGCTTGGCTCAGCAAAGCAAAAACAATCTTGACGTGTTGCCAAAAACAAATTCCTCGACTACTTGAAAATGAAATTTGTGAAGTAAAAGCCTTAAAGAGAGGGACAATAAGATCAGGTCCATTGTGATTAGACAAGAAGCAAAACTGAAAGAAGGGAAAACTTGAACATTTCCCTGGCCCCATGCAGTTAGGGAAACCGTCTTTCCGACACTCACTCAGCGGTCTCTCAAAGAGGAATAGAATCAAAAACTGATAACAAAGAGTATTTATGATAACGTCAGTCCAATCTCCAGAGACTTTTAAGAACCGGATGTCTGACAGACAAATACAATTTAAATTTACGGATTCTTATGTTTAAAATGAAGTTTCGGGACTGCAAGTTAAGCAAATGAATGGCTATATTAAATCTTTTCCCAAGATCGTAGATAGCTCAGCCTCTAACATGTACGCTCGTAGAGATCTTCATGATGGCGAAGTTGTTCCCCTTCCGTACGTAGTAAAAGTGAACCTACCTATTTGCGTTCAATCAACAACACAAAGAAAGCTAGCGTTGTGTTTTGTTTGTTGTGTTTTTCTTTCGAAGGAATAACCAAGATTAAAGAAAGTTTATTAACGTTTGCAATTTTTGACCGAAATCAGCCAAAGTGTTATTTGGTTCCAGATTCAATCAAAAGATACATTTTTTGTTGTTGTTGTGATCTCTCGATGTAAGCTTACAAATTATGATATTTAAGTGGCGTATAAATAGCTCTGCTTGCAATGTAAGCGCTAATTCCTAAATAAAATAATCCAATTTGTACACTTCTTAAAACTGAAACAGAAAAACACTTGAAAAATGTCGAAATGATGTACTTTGCTCGGCAGATTTTCAAAATATAACTGTTATTTAATCTTGTGCAGCTGAGCAAGCAAATCAATATGACGTTAACGTATCTCATACATAAATCGTTGTTTTATCTTTGTCTCTTTGCGACTTTTGTTTCGCCCCTAACCTCAATCAGTTGAGTATTGACTGTAAAAATACTTAATCATTAGCAACGAGCACAAATTTTAAAATAGGAAGATTGCTGACATATTAATCAGAAGGAAAGTATAAAAATGTTCTGCTTCTGTTACAATTTTTTCTTTTCCTTTTCTTTCATTCGAGGTGTCGTCTTGCAGTTGGAAAATAAATCATCGTTAGTAACCCGCATGAGTGCTTTTTTTTAAGTTTGACGTTTTACATTTCGGAAGAAAGAATTAAAATCTAACCGGTGGCAGTACGTAGCATAATAACCACCTGTATCATTCCCTTCAATTTACATGTAAATTTGATCAATAATGCTCGGGTTAATAAAAGTTGATGCAATTGTTGATTAGACGTAAGATATTTGATTGGTACCCTTCGCACTTTGTACCACTACTGCAAGAGCATAGAGCTCCACTTAAGTGGAACTGGGAGAGTTTTTGTTTCAGCCTCTATCTTCTGTTGAATATCGCCTTTGCAACTTTTTAAACAGCCCATCTTGGGCAATTTCAGAAATTTCAAAGATGTAACGTGAAGACAAAAATTATTTTATGTCCTGGAATTTTTATCCGGTGGATTCGCGGCGGCATTTAGATCAAATGTAGTTTAAGTGACAGAAACCACATCCTTTAACTTCTGTCGACAAATCGGATTAGAACAATGTGAGTTTTTTTCTGTAATATGAGTTAAAAATAAAAATTGCTCAGACACTTCGTGCATTTCTTGACGTACTTAAAAGTTAACAAACAGGTTTATAGCGATCTGTATGTTTTCCATAGGAAATTATAGTCGCAGGAAGTTATCAAAAAAATATCTTTAACTGCTCATGCTTTTCAAAGTTTATTGATATTCAAGTTTGAAGTAAAATCATACAGCTAAAATGGAGGAAACAGGTGAAGATACTTCGACCAAGTTGAAACCGTGCTACATGGCATGCATGACAATTGCTAATAAATTGATTTGTCCTTCGAATCTCTAGTCCTGTAGGTAATGAAAAGGTCGTGCCCTAAAATTTGTGCCCATAGCATTGAGCATGTTACAAAACACGTTCTCTTCACGTCCGTCAAGATCATGCCAACAAGATACACATCTGGGCTATTCTTTTACTTATTTTCGATCTTCTTTCTGCGTCTTCGATTACATAAATGAAGAATCAGCGACAGAGTCTGTTTTCTTTGTTGATGCTGTAAAACTTTCTCTGGCCTTAAGTTTAAATTGTCGGAATATTTGAAATTCCTATTGAATAAACAACCTTGCAATCAAATTTATCCATTCGTTACAAATATATATAGATTTCTATCTACTTTTTGGAAGTTGACAGTTTTGTTTTTCTTTTTTGTAGTGGGTAATTTGATGGTTTCGATTGGAACCTGTAAACACGGAATTTTTCCAATACGGAGAAAACTTGAATGTGCAATTTCTAGCTTTCAACGATTTCCTCAATTCTTTTTTCCTCGATCTCCTAATGAATCAAGTAAACCATTTTCAGATTTGTTTTCTTTCTTGTAAACTTTCACGTCAACGATTCTGTTTCTTTGCTTGTTTTCTACTTTCTCTCTTAGGCGTGGCTCACAATTTTGTTCACTTGAATGTGCTTAAAGGCTTTTCAGTCCTTGGTTAGTGGGTTGTAAATTCCAGAAAACAAAATTGGTCAACTATCATCTGCGTTTAAGTTAAAACTTTAGTATTCAAGCTTTATTTGATTAGCAGTTATTTGTATTTCAGTTTCGTTGTTTCTCAGTTTTCCGTTTTTTTTCTCATCATTGTAGACACTGTTTCAGCACATTATCATTGTAATGATTTGTGGTTTGCTTTGATCCTTAATTTTTTCAATTAATCTCTTTTGAATAAGAATAATATTGACCCTCTTTCAGTCTCACTGTTTATAGCTGTTTATAGATTCATGTAAGCCCGTTTTGACTTCGAAATCCGCATTTACCATAATTGCCTCAGACGAAATTCCTTTCTATGTTATTATCCACACGGAATACAATGCCAAAACGCGACGAACACGCTATCAAAAACTGGCGTGAAAAATGGGTCATTTATTTTTCCTTTCGTGCCATTTTTGTTTGGTTTGCATATTTCAAATTATTCGTGTGCGTTTTTCGCTGTCCACTCATAAAATAGAATCATACTCTCGAATGTATTAAGTGCTGACGTGTTTTTATTTTCTGTGTTCGTTTCATACCAGTTGTTTTTACGTCAGAGGGAGAGCTTATGGGTTATAGAATGAGTTAGAACTGAAAAAAGAAGCTTTTGGTTTTCGAACTTAGCGCATTAAAGTCAGTAGTGTCCACGGATTAAACCCCAAAAGGTATCTACATGCTAAACCATAAAAGAAAAATTCTAAATAATTCCCAAGAAATCCTTTCCTGTAAATTTTTTTCTGGCTGCTACTTAAATGAGTGTTCTGTTGACGCCGTTCACTGTGTGTGCTCGACGTCCGAAGAAGCAGAGCTCTTGGGAACTGTGTCGGACTGCAAGGCAATCCCATCACAGCTCATATTGACAAGGTATTTTAATTTATTTTCTACCTATTGCATCCCAATGATTATTATCTAACTTTTTTTTCAGCATTCTCAATAATTTGACATGGAAAACACTCTCAAATTTTTCGAAGGCTTTTGTAATTCTTCTAATGATCATGAAGCTGTCTTGCCTTCACAACACCAAATGATTGTGGGCTGTTCTGAGTTCCTGTCGAAAGCGAAACTAGGAAGGTTTTCTCAGATTTTTAAAGCCTTTCTTTTCCAAAAACACTTGCAATATCCTAATCTTAAGGACGATGTTTAGGTTACCGTCGTTGTGATCGAACTGAAAATGCTGAAGCTCTGTAGACTTCGGGATGGCACGCAAAGGTGGCTCGTCTTTCAGTATTAATAATCATCGTGTAACCAATATTGCAACATTGAAGAGAATGCATTTGATTACCAGGCGTTGACACACAATTATCGAAAGTCAAGTATTTATGTAGATTCCTTCGAAACGAGTGCATATGACAGTTTCTGACTCAATTCATACTTAACCGACACATCTGTTTTCTTGTGTTTTTCTCTCGAAAATTAAGAGCGGAATTAAAATTGAGACAATTAATTTGTGATTTCACAATATAATGTGTGAAAGCATTATATAATCATCACCGTAATCTCTTAATTTGTTTACCTTTCATTAAATCCAATTCTTTTTAAGTATTTATGGCAAGCATATTCATTTTCAAAAGAGTTTTATCTTATTGCCGGACAAAATCTGATAGTAGCACTTTCCGTGGCAGATAGATTACTAAGATTACGGTTAAGACTGACGAGACCTTTAGACTATCAGTGTGGTGCCACAAAGAACTAAAAAACATCGCATTTTTATGCCGTTAACGGAACTGTTTAACTTATATCAATTTTAATTGTTATTTCCTTGACGTGTGGCATGGAAAGAAAACTGTAAAAGGAAAAGCTAGACTGTAAGGTAATCGATGGGCAATACTCATTGTCTACAACTTCCATCTTAACTCGACGTTTACAGTAGAAGTATAATTGGTGTAAAAAGGAGAAAAATTCATCATGAACACCTTAGTGAACAAGAAACATGGCTGAGGCTACTTCCCCAAACGGAGAGCACTAACAAGATCCAAAAAAACTTTAATGTCAGCTAGTTTTTCATACACTATATTTATTTTTTTTTGCAATGAACTTTTCTTTTGTCAACTTCAAACATCACTTTGTCGTGATGTTTGCTGGTTTTACATAGAGAAGGAATGAGAGGTCATATTTCTGGAATTAATCTGTACTTGAAGATCCTTACATGTTCATCTCCAACGAGAGATAAGGCACACACTTGTCGGACAAAGTCCACAAGAATTTGAAATCACGCCATTATTCATTGCAGAACATTGCAATTTGTGCATGTGACCTAGTCAGACAAAGAGGTTTTCCAAGACATCAGATTGTGCAAACATATCGTTGAGCTTAGAATAGTATAGATCTAACAATCATTTGGTTTCGTGGCAGATCGAACGTGCTAGAGGGGTATTTTTTGAGAAGTTTTGTCCCTCAAAGAGGCCTGGGAGGGGCAGACAGGTGTCATAGAGACGTTGTGATAACAAGATTGATTTGTTTATAAGTGTCAGCAAATGAAAAAGAGGGTGTCATATTTCCTCTAAGAGGAATTAAGCCTTTCTACTCTGAAGAGGAACTAGGAGTCCAGTGCCAAACCACAACAAGGACAATTGTATTATCTCATGCTGATCGTGCGAGGCTATGATGACCAGATTGATTTGTTGATAAGTGTCAGCAAATGAAAAAGAGGGTGTCGCATTTCCTCCGAGAGGAATTAAGCCTTTCTACTCTGAAGAGGAACTAGGAGTCCAGTGCCAAACCACCACAAGCAAATTCACATAACTTCATGCTGATCGTGCGACTTAAATAACAGATTAAATTTCAGATCAGGATACAGCATAAGAAAGCTGATGAAACGATTTCGTTCACGATTGAGTTAGACCAGTTTCAAACAAACATCAAGCGAGAGAACTATTGTCCGACAAGTGAGGTCAGTAACAAATTTTCCATTGCCATTAGAAGGAAAATGAAACATGCTTGCAGTAATGTTTGATCTTGTATCCTCCTCTCTAATCGATTAGCTGGTGTCAGGACAAATGCATATTTAGTGGTGTGAACTGGCTGTTTTTCTTGTCGAACATCGCGAATATTCTCATACAGCAACTAGAGAGAATTTGAGCCCTAATCTATTCTGGTCATTGGCTCAGACGTTGTAAAATTACACTTGAAAAATTTTTAAAAGAAAACAGACATCATGAAACGGCTGAGGCGCTCGCTTTCCTTCAATTGCATCGGCCTTATTTGAGCCCCAAACCTTAGAGAGGTGGGTATCGTTTGCTGTTTGATGTCGCACATCTCTCCGTCAAACCCAGATTTTTAAATTTCTTTTTTTTCTGATAAGCCTTTCTTGGTGTTCTATTATTGCAATTTTAATTGAGATTCGTGAAGTTTGTTATTGAAGTGAGTTGTTATTTGCTGAGCATTGTCGTATGGGGAAAGGACAAAAAAACCATATTACTTAGTTTTTGAGAGCAAGCTGGACAGATGAAATGGACCACTAAAGCAACGTTTGCTGAATTTCGCATTGCTTTTCTTCATCGAGCACGTGATAAGCCTTCTATGGCTGATATCTATTCAAAGAAGACAGCCTTGCGCTACTATGTTATAACAACTTTTAAATAGTTCTCAATGAATTGGAGGAAGAGTATAATAAAATGACTGAAGTGTAAACAACTGCTCGATGTCTTTAATGTCTGAGATGTCGGCGATATTTGCAAGTGATTGTGGTAGATCAGTATGTTCGCGTTTCCGGCTCTTTTCCTTAGCATATATGACTCCTTAATAAAACTCTTAAGAAACTTTTCCTACAGCCACTTTCTTCTTTTAACTTCCAGATAATTTCTACCTTCAAACTATTTCCGTTGATTTGTACTCAACTGAACTTCATGACGTCAGAGATGAGGTTTTCGATGATGTTTTTACCAATCATAGTCACCTTGGCTTTTTTAAACATGGTCACAAGCACGAAAAGTCCAGGGTAAGTGGCACTCCCTTATGAAATAAAAACTAGAGTAAACCGTCAATTGATTTAACAAAAATTTAAATATACCGGATTATGATACCAGCTTTCCACTTGTTACCCGGAGACCGAGGACTGTTCCAGTAAAGGCAAAGCTAACTCAAGTCTTTTCATCTAACCTCACATTTTATTTGTTTATATTTTCCTCGTCAAAATGACATTATCCCATTTATTCGGCAGAGCTGACCCACGATCAACCATCACTCGATCCATACGGGTATGTTGTTCTCAGTTTATTATCTATTACTTCTAATTTATAGATAAAACTTTGCTCATTGAAGGGTTGGCCTCCCCGCAACGAAAGGGATGGCTACTGGAATGGTTTTATTCGTTGTTGGAATACCATCTCCAAGCTGTTTTGTACTTATTTAGTTTCATTTTCTCATCTTTAAACTCAGGATGCTTCCAAAAGAATAAGTATCAAGAGAGCCGGAGCTAGCAGGGGTCTGAGAGAATGCCGTGAGCAATTTAAGTTCGAAGTCTGGGATTGCAGTTTTTATAAAGAAAGCGTGACTGGAGCATTACCTGATTTTATGCGAACAACGTTGTCTTATGGTATGAAATATTTTAATCATTTCAGACCAAGTAACTTGTATCTGTTTTGAGCATGACTCAATAGATAAGGGATATTCAAGGTTTTTCTCTCTCAGGATCCTTATCCTCATCTTTTTATGGTCAAAATAATAATAATAGCAAAGATGATAATAATGATAATGACGGTTATTGTCTTGATGATAATGATGATACTGATAATCAAAATGAATGCCCAGACCCGAATTATGATTTTTCAAATTAATTTAGAGAATAAAATATTTCCATACAGTTATTACGTCTTTACCTGTTGAGCTTATCTTTTTAAAACAGCCAATCACTTTGTTTTGTAGCCAATAGAGAGACAGCGTATTTACACGCAATAACAACCGCCGGCATCGTACAAGAAATCGTGTCTCAGTGCGCTGCAAACAAAATTACCGAATGTAGCTGTGACAAAAAATCAGGGCAGTCTCGTGGATGCAGGAACTACCTGAAGTTTGCCGAGAAGGAGACGAGAAGGCTGTTAGTAACTCTACCACAAGGGAGCTTCGAACGAAGCGGAATTGACATTAATAATCAAATGGTGGGAATAGAGGTAAATGCTGTTTTCGTGTTTTATTCATTCTCATAATGTATTTAATGTTGTTTGCTCACTCATCGCCCACTCATTTTCGCGCCTCTTTTCATTCAATGCCTATTTATTTATCTCTCATGGGAAAATAATGCTACTTTTACTTACTTTTCAAGTAATCGTTAGAACGTAAGGCCTCTTCAAACACTGTTCATTTCATCAAGCTTTGTTCGCTTTCTCTCTTTGAGAAATTTTATCAAATGAACGTACATTGTAAATCCGAAATTTTTTGGGGGAGGAGGATCTTATTTGACCCAAAGAGTTGTGTGCCATCAAACATGATATACAGTTGTACTATGGTTACGAGGGCCTTTTTTTATGGACCGAAACCCTAGAATAGTGTGTGAACTTTGCAGTGTGTTATCAATAAGAGTAGCATGAACAATTGTTTCTGGTCCTTTTGGCACAATATCACATTCCTTGGGAACACTAACTTAATTTTTGTTTTCTCTCTTGAATAAACACTAACTTTACACAACATTCACTTGAAATGATACCCGAAAAACGCTCCTTGCTTTTAACGAAACTTTGCAAACTTTACCATCATGATTGCTTATAGGCTCCCTATACAACCAAGCTTGGTACTCGGATATTTTTTGTTTCTTAAATACAAAGCCTGCTGATTATTCTGATCAGTATTTTTCCATACCCTTACAGGTTTTTAAGAGGAATTGTGGTGGCAGTTTGCCTAAAAATTGTAACAACTGGCAGAGAGTTGCAAACGAACTGAAAAGTAAATATCAATCCACCATAAACGAGACGCAGCAGACCAATATCAACTCCACTTCCCAAAGTAACTTACGACTGACCTATCAGGATCCGTCGCCTGATTACTGTGTACGTAATTTGACCGTTGGCTCTCCTGGCTTGGAAGGACGGGTCTGCGGAAATAGTGGCACAATAACAAGCCAATGCAGATCCCTTTGTGAGCAATGTGGCTTGACACTCCTGAGAGAGGACCGAAGTCCAAGAAACTGCAAAGATTGTCCAGAAATAACATCAGTGACGGTCTGCAGGAAGAAGAAAATAGTCACCGGCAAGCGATCAGTAGAGCAAAGCCCGGTGCAAATGATCGGACTGAGAAAGCATTTCCTCTCATTAGGAACAGATGTCTAAGCTGCCGGGGCAATTTCTTGAGGAAAGACGCTTTGAGTGTGCTAGAACAGTCAATTCTTATCTTCAGCCCCGTGCTTGCATCGCTTGTAGGTTTAACTGACACAGTAATCCCACATTTGTGGTATATGCTTTATTTCTTTATCTATCTTACCAAATAGTGAACTTTCCAGTGCAAAGAAACGCTTTGGTCGACCGCTTTCCGAGAGGAAAGGGCATGTAGTTCAGTCTTAAAACGAGATTTTCGATAAGTGTGATTTACTTGTATGACTTCGGAGCACTGGGAATAGCTCAAACTTTTTTAACAAGCTGCAGTGTTTGTATTTAGAATTTTAATAGAAAATATTCTACTCTGTTCCTTACAGCTCTATGGAGAATCCTTAATCTCTTATAGTTCTATATTACACCTTACAGTTTTAGACAGGCATAGCAAAAAATCTGATAAAGAAGATCTTTGTGATTAGTCGCATATGTATACACATATATACATATGTATATTTGTAGTCGAATCCAGAAACGAGCATCGTAATAATGAATTTCATAGAGCTCTAGTTACTGAAAGTCTTCCTCCATACACCTTAATGTAGTTCAACTGAAAATTCAGTTTTGATAAAACCTAACAGTTAATGACCAGGCACATCTAACTGATATGTGTTAGTCTTGTTTTCATACCGTTTCCTCAGGAATAAAACCTACTGATAAATTAATAAGTATGGAGTCTGCAAATTATTGTCATAATGTGCAATAAACACGTGGACCTCTTCATATGAGCTCAAGTGCTGGCTCGGTCAGCGGCGCAAATTTGGTCTTCCTTGCATTTCAGCGGGAATATCAGCTTTATTACAGAGATGAACAAAGAGAATCTTTTAACTATATCGCGGTAACTGACAGAAATTCTAAGAACATAGGTACAGTACATTCCTTAGCATATTGGTTGAGAAAATCTTCTCCGCTTTAAAACGACAATTTCATATCCCCCTCCCCTCCCATCAATACAATCTATCTTTCAATATCGTGCGTTGCAGCAAAAGTGATTAGGCTAGACTGAAAGGAAAGCGGGTTTACTGTGGGTTTACCGGTGCAATGGCTTTTGACCAATCAAGGCGCCCGTAGTATCGCAATTATTTTATAACAAGTTAAAAGTCGACATTTCAAAACTGAAAAGTATGTATAAATTTTATTGTGGAATGTACTGCTTCGACGTAAGCCATCATCAGATTATCATCCTCTCATTAATGACGTTATTAGAAAACAATAAATTGTTTACAATCTGGGAGCCAAAACAAGAGGTGCTAATAGGCTTCATTTCAGAATTCACAGCACGTACCACAAGATGCAAGAGGTCTGTGAAACTGTCTTTCTTTTATCATCATATCCAACTCACAGCGCTCCAAATACGTTAACATGCAAACAAGATTTATGGGGAGCTGGTACAAGGTATGTTCTTAACTTTGAAAATACTAGTAAGAATTATGAGAAAAACCTCTGAGGGTTTTGAGTTTGCTGTCGATTTGTTACTTTCACTTTTCATTTCATAACTTGAAAAGTTCCTGATTCTTTCGTCGATTCATTTCTTAACTCATAAACTTTTGATTTCTCGACCAGTGAAGTCGATTGATATCGATATCCACCCGAAAACGATAAATCATGACGAGCTTTGCTCAAGAAAAGAATTCTCACCAGGGATGCGTAAAATGATCCATAGGCTTGTCAAAGTAAAGCGAGAGGGCTCAATTAGCAAGTGAAAGCGAGGTGTTTGGCTTCGAGCGTGAAATTAATTGACGTTAACAATTAAAATGTAAACAGGCGCGAGGATCCGCGCGGCTTGCGCGTTAGGAGAGCTACGTAAATTTAGGACTCTTTTGCACAATTTTCTCTTTGGAGATAACTACGCATTCATGGCGTGAATGGCAATTTTCATAATTGTAGAATGATTCAGCGACAAGAACGGCTTAGCTAAGCCGTAGTGTGTCATGGCATTTGAGGATAGCCTGGTTGTAGTGCGTGACACGACTATCAAGTAACAGTTATTGTACCCAGCATGTTTTGTTCGTGATCTACAGATTTATTGGTTTGTGACGCAAAGAGCGATTATCTGTTCTGTCACGACAATACCAAAATTAAATTGTGTTAGCCAACTTATATTTCACTCTGATCAGACCTTTGACCCTAAGTCAACATGGAAGCCGGTGAGCCGCTCGGTAAGGACCTTGTTTTCAAGAGAGATTTCGACTGCAGTATGTTCTGGAGATACAAGAGTATCATTTAACACTTGAAACGATTGGGTAGATATTTTGATAATACTTTTCTGGCGTCCATACTGAGGAGCTCTTTCAGTATAAAATAGACAGTAGTCCCAATCATCAGGTAAGCGCGGGAACTTATCCCGCGAAAATTCTGTGCGAAGGTACGAGTATATTCGGCGGTATCTGCGAAAAGGGGCCATCGTTCTTTCCTTAAGGTAAGGTCTTAACTGTGTAAAACTTCGCGAGGAAGAAATTCTACTCGCTGGCCTGTCCAATTTGGCTTTTAGATAAGGTTGTATGCTTGATAATTTCTGTCTAGAGCTATATGATGACGCGCGATAAATCTCGCTGCTTAATAACCCTTGAGTCGAAAATGATGATGCCCAAACCATTTAATCAGCAAAGCAAGGTTTACCTTTACTTCTGTGCTTTCGAAGCAAGAGAAGGAATTATTTCTGTGATAGTTAGGTGACAGATGCTTAAAATCACATGGTGTATTATCAAACTGTTGAAACCTAACATGAGCAAGATGAACTAATTATGGAATGAACCCTGACATCACAGCTCAAATATTCCTTCCCTATAAGATGACGCGCTCTTGGCAGGTTAGTGTGTTTTCTTACTAATCGTACTGTACTATTTCGCAGTTTCGAAAGTAGAATCCTGAAGATACTCTCGTTCTTTTGTTATTTCTTGTGTAATCAGACTTATCTCCGTGAGGGAAGAACCTTCATTTTTTAATTTTTTTCCCGGTTTTGTCATTCGTATGTGAGCTGTTGTTATCTGAAGGCAGAACCTTTCCTTTTTTTTTCACCTGGTTCTGTCTCTCTTGGGTAGTCAGTTCTGTTTGGGCTGTTGTTATCTGAAGGCAGAACCTTTCCCTTTTTTTCATCTGGTTCTGTCTCTCTTGGGTAGTCAGTCCTATTTGGGCTGTTGTTATCTGAAGGCAGAACCTTTCCCTTTTTTTCACCTGGTTCTGTCTCTCTTGGGTAGTCAGTCCTGTTTGGGCTGTTGTTATCTGAAGGCAGAACCTTTCCCTTTTTTTCACCTGGTTCTGTCTCTCTTGGGTAGTCAGTTCTGTTTGGGCTGTTGTTATCTGAAGGCAGAACCTTTCCTTTTTTTTCCACCTGGCTCTGTCTCTCTTGGGTAGTCAGTCCTATTTGGGCTGTTGTTATCTGAAGGCAGAACCTTTCCCTTTTTTTTCACCTGGTTCTGTCCCTCTTGGGTAGTCAGTCCTATTTGGGCTGTTGTTATCTGAAGGCAGAACCTTTCCCTTTTTTTTTTACCTGGTTCTGTCTCTCTTGGGTAGTCAGTCCTGTTTGGGCTGTTGTTATCTGAAGGCAGAACCTTCCCTTTTTTTCACCTGGCTCTGTCTCTCTTGGGTAGTCAGTCCTATTTGGGCTGTTGTTATCTGAAGGCAGAACCTTTCCCTTTTTTTCACCTGGTTCTGTCTCTCTTGGGTAGTCAGTCCTATTTGGGCTTTTGTTATCTGAAGGCAAAATCTTTCCTTTTTTTTATTTGGATCTGTCTCTCTTTGGGAGTTGTTTCATTTTAGACTGTGCGTTTTCATCTTATGACAAACTAATTTTGAATTGCGACATAATTAAATTTACTTGTCTTGATTTTTTTTCCTTTGCAGATTTAATTGAACGTTAACCGCGAAAAGCCGTGATGAAAAAGCAATGTTTGTTTTAATAGAAAAAGATAGTTTTCCTGTTTAGATGACCAACCAACCTTAACTTAATTACACATCATAAGTGCACGTTCCGTTGACTGGTAATTTTTACGTCGATGTCGTGTTTGCCTTGGTGGTGTCTGTCCTCAAATCCCGTGATTTTTCAATTAAAAATAAATAACGAATTTAGGAATAAAATTACCAACGAGTAAAATACCTCTTCACGTAACGTATTAAATTGCATTTACATTTCCAACTCTTGCTTCAGACACGAGATGTAAAATCGGTCGTAGATTGTAAAAGAGATTTGTGAGTAAAGAACTTTTTCTACTTGTCTTTGTTTATTTTCTCGCAGCCTTATACATGAGGTTCGCTGTGTTCGCAGTGGTGCGCCAGGAAACCCCAGCAGGAAAAATTTTTTTAAAGATTTTACTCCTTTAATGATCTCTTTAAAGTATATTACTTCCTTAGCATTTAGCCAATTATATGGTGCCGGCGGAGGGTACAAAAAAACTCCATTATATATTTCTTTACAGGCCAATATTATCGGAAAAAACCCAAACAAACAAACAAAGTGAGTTCTGTTGCGCTGTGTGATCCATGAGTGTTCTCATCGCGGTTAGGGCTTGCTGTTGTTTGCGGTATTATTTTCCGGAGTGGACATACCATTACTACATTTTTGTTAGCGTTTAAAAATCGGAAATACATGGTTTTGGTAAAAAACCTTAATCTTTTTCAACTCTTAACGACTGTCGAGTTGTGTGTATCAATAAAGTGGGTCAGCAAATTTGCATTCTATGTTGCGCAAGGGGCAAGAGAAAATGGTTGACTCCCCGCGAGTGAAGCTGACGCTCTGGGTCGATGTCTATCCGTTACTATCCTTTGTAAACAAAATTTCGATCATGGAGTTAAATTATAAAATTACTTTGGCTTACATTGTACGCTTTAAAGTAAACTTGAGTTGTTAGATCCACGCGAGGGTTTAACCTTGAAAAATGCAATCACGCGAGTGGAGCTGACATTAACGCTTGTCCCTATCTGGAAAACATTCGTATTGTGACAAGAAGGGTCTGCTTTAAGGTTTTGGGTTACTCTCGCCATGCAATTTGGACGCCGAAAAGTGCCAAAAAAGTAATTACTGAAAATTCATCCGCAACACCTCGGTCGTTCTGTGGGCGCGAAGTCAGTTCTTCTCTTACAGTTAATAATTGCCAGGCGGATCTCAGATCCGCCTAAGCCTCATTTGCATAAATTCTTTTGGTGAGCAAAGCTCGTCATGCTTTCTTCTGAGGGAAATGTCTTATCAGCATGATCTGGAATAAACGAAAACAAAAAATATACTTCTTAGAAAGGGAAGCTTTGAACCAGTAAGACGACTGCAATAAGGCTCAAGGAAAGAGGGTTGTTAAGATGCTAGATTAGTACGATCAAAAATGACTTTGCAAACCTCGTCGTCGGATAAATGACGATTTTTTTAATTTTTTTCCCATTTAAGCACGTGGATTTTATCTTTTAGCACTTGGACGAAAAGTGACGCCAAATGTTAAACCGCAAGAAGGACGTCTAGGTAATGAGATCATATTGTTCAAGTCAACAAAATAACTTACAGATCAGAAGTAAGTCGGGGGAAATAAGTGTTCTATGGATTGGATTCGTGGGCCTTATGTTCAAACATTTGATGAAGGACTTAGAATTGATTCCCTTCTTGGCTGCACGATTAATTCATAAGTTATGAGAGACATTTAAGATTAAATTATTTTAACTGTTGCAGAGACTTTTCAATGTTTAGGTGAGCTCTATTACTAATAAGTAGTAATAGAGTCCACTCAGCACAAAGTTGTCTATTTATTCTGACCTACTCTAACAAACAAAATTATGCCTTTATGAACGTTTGTTATAGCGTCTAGTTATTGCATGGCCATCTTCCATCTTTTCATCACACCAACTTTGCAATCTTTTCTAAAAGAGATAGTCATTCAGTCACATTCGAAAATGCATGGGCTACGTGATGTTATTTGAAATGCAATAAGGAGATAAGTCTACAAGATTTATTTTGCCACATTTGACAGGCCAAAAACCCAGATATTTTAAAACGTGACACGTACGTGCAAAAACAGGTTTTATTTGCTTAAACTATTCGGTTGTCATGAGATTTTCCAGACTTCAGCTATGTTCAATAAGAGTGGTATTTCAAGAATATTTTCGAATTTGAATAGCTTAACTCTCCCTCTTTAGGAAAACACAGATTATCCACCATCACTACATCCTACGTCCTATACGAGTTTGTTTCAAATAATCAAATCGTGTCGCTAGTAAAATAAAAAAAAAAAATGGGTAATAAAATGTATCTGGATAGATGTCTGACTATATATATGTGTGTGTGTGTGCACCTAAAACACAAAACACAGAAACTCTACCGAACTCAGCGAACATATCTGAACCCTTAAAGAAAATAATATTGACCACTTTACTTCATGGCGCATCCTTTCATCAAGATCACCTTATTACAGCGCAAGCAAAGAAAAATTACTTATCATCGACCGAGACTTTTTGACAAGAAAACGAGTGATATATATTTAATATATATTTCAATGTTGCAACGTTTTTGAAAATGGGTGTATATATATATTTTATTATTATTATTATTATTATTATTATTGTTTTAAGTTACTTGTGAAGCAGGATCTTTTGGGACTTATCATTAATTTTCTTTTAAATGAATTCAATAATGTTATTCAAAAAGATACGAGAAAGCATCCAGCCAGCGCAGGATAACAGGCAATCCTCGTCCCCAGATTCCACCCTCTTTTTCAAGAGAATTAAAGAATAGAGTTTCTGGGTGCCATAAGGATTAAGTTCATTCTCATCCTTAAATAAAAAGATGGTCCTTTCTCTCACGGGAGTTGAACCGCGAAAATTATTTTTTGTTAAAGATATTCTGAGAAAACAGTTAGTTGAGTGCTTTGTTCCTCGTTCACCTATTGCTTATCTGTTACGCCATTGCGCATTCCTTTGCATCACGACCGCACAAGAGGTTTGAGAAAGATCGAGCGAAAAAGAAAAAATGACCTAAAGCCCCTTTCTTATGACACCAAACAGCCAATTATTGAATTATTTTTCACTCAGACTACAGGATAGAAGCCCTAGGTAGGTGATCATCATCTTAGGGACAAGGCTTTGGCCTTAAAATATCTAATTGACATACATTATTATACTTTACTTAATAAAGGACGCTTATCTGGGGGATATTTCACTTCCAGAGCCGTATAATACAAATGAGTCTCAGATGTCAGTAATCACAACACTGTTGTTCAAGATATATTAAAGTTCACAGGGCAACCAGGTGGACAATCACATATACTAGTGCCTCTTTCAGGGGTGATGAGGGCAATAGACAGGAGTGTCGAAACGTTGGGTCTATGAATTGTAACTTCTCGGTCACATTCATTAAATCTTTAAGCCAGAGTAGCATCAAACCATGTCTGAATGTTTTTCAAGTTATTTGGTGAAAGATTTGACCAACTAATCAGGATTAACTGAGTGCACGAGCAACTTCTCCGAATTTGTAACCTTATTAGTCATAATCATTTCAAAGTGTCCGTGACATGAAGCTGTTTGAATTACTATCAGGAATCAGTGAAGGCGAGTTCAATTTGGTAACAATGGCTGATGTTTGATATTGGCGAACTGCCGGAGGGGATTAATTCCCGGCAACAGCCTGAAGGTGCGATTTGCGTTTTAAGAACTTTAAGGTCATGGCTAGGACAATGCACGTACATAAGCCAAAACTAGATATTTTGTGACGTCAACGAAAATTCCAAGATGGCGCATACTCTAAGAAACGCATCACGTTTTCCTTTCTTAGCTCTTTTCTGCGCCTAGCGGTTTCCTTCTCCAGCGGCACTTACTTACGAAGAGACTGAAAATATGACGTCTGTGTAACTTTTACGCGCGATTCAGAGGTGATCCTTTTGAAATTGTGTGTTACGGTTCCAGCGCGCATATCTTCGCGACAAGACCATATCTGTTGAAAAATAAGGTAAGTAAAAGCATTTTCAGTCTTAACAAAAGTTGCTCTCAGAACCTATGTAAGATATTTTTGTACTTGGCGGTATTTGTCATCATAGTACACAACCCCTTTTCGGACTTTTGTGTTATTTTGAAGATCCGACAATAAGTTTCGTCATGTGATTTGTCGTTTGAATTGATGATTGAAAATTCCAATTATGCTCTCTGACAGTCTGATGGAAGATAGATCTGCATTTTTACCATTAAGATGGTAGTTGGTTATAACGATTCTAACGAATTCGAAAACACGAACAGTTCAGATTTGCAAGACAACAGCACTCTGAAATAATGTTTATTTCACGATATTGATCTCGATAACAGAGAGGTCCATCTCCACTTGATTGAAGAAGAACTGAACACCGTTTGAATTGCGACGCTTATATGACTATGTGCTCATCCTAGCTTCTATCGTAAGAGATTTTACCTTAAAACTTAAGAAATGTCTAAAATAAGTATTAGATTTGCTTTGTGTAACTCGAGTAATAGTTAATTTAAGGCCCATTACTGGAGGACTTCACGAATGAATGATTTACAGCCACTACTTTCATTCATTAGTTCAATTTTTGGTTTAAAATGAAATTCAAACTTTTTATCTGAAAAAAGACATACATAGCCCAAGTGCAACCAAGTATTAGGGAGAGAAATATTCAAATAAATCATTGCTTTACTTGGTTAATGGTCAACTTGAAGAAGCAGAAGATGAAGCTGATGAGGCCCTATGAGAACTCGGACTGATTGAGCTTCGCCTTCGAAGACAAAAATTCCGCATAGCTCTAGGGTAATTCCAAATAATTCTGACCTTTCTAAGTAACGTATGGTGAAGTTCCCCAAATTCTGAGTGACTGAGTTCAGTTTTGATATATGTTATCTGAACTGCTAGGACATTTTAGGAATGGAGATCTTATAATATCTTGTTTTGATTTATACAGCTCAAATGGAACCATTTTAAGAAGACAGGATGGTTGATCACATTTTACCTTCCGCAGTACTTTATGTTACATTCGGATCATGACATGGATGCGTGTGAACAAGAGTTTTATAATGAAATAGAAAGCATGTACTGTAAGCGACATTTAAGAATTGATGTTTGAGTCTATCAACTCAGTCATGAATTTTCAGTGAATTAAATAGTAAGGTTTGTTGACTCCCTGTTGTCTAGTGTAACCACTAAGCAAAATAGGTTTGAGGCAAATTTTGCACGCCATGAACTGATAACTGAATTGAGGTCAGCACAGGCACCAAGAAGTGAACAGCTTTTGTAGAAAGTTAATCAAATGTTCCTAATATGGATTTTAAACAGAAATAATGACATCATTAATAAATTCAAATGACCCTATCATAAATATTTTTCATGTTCATAAGCCTTAAACAACGGAGCTCAAGTTTAGTTTGGGAACCCCCTTACCACGTACATGCACATTTTTCTTGGTGTGTTTACAAATTCTAGCTTCACGAATTCATGGAAAGTTTTCACTCTAGGCCAGTCAGTTCGACGGCAGTGGATTAAAAGTGGAAAGTTGTGCACGATTAGATCTAGGAAACCCATATTAAACAAATAGGAAATAAATTTATCAGGTTTCCTAACCAGTATCCTCAACGAACTATAGTTTAAGTAACAGAAATTCCTGAGCTTTGCGTGTTTTGTCAATGATTGTCTACATAGCTGGAATCAATACTTCACAGCCTTCAATGCCAAAGCGCTTTTCTTATAACCATTTCTTGGCTAGAAAAGCCTCAAACCTACAATGCATGATTAGAAGAAATCGCAAAGGGAAAACTGGGAAATGAAATTCAACCACCTCGCAAGCCAACACAACAACAACAACAAAATATCTATAAAAAGAAACAATGCGGTTATATTTCACCTTGTCACCATGTTTAACCTCTTATATGGATTGGCAAGCCCCTGATGATTAAAGTTGTATTCAAGGTATTACAAACAGAGCATGGTAGCGATTGCGAAGGTGATTGTACCTCCAGACCGTAATATCTTCCCCTAAAAGAGATGTAAATATGCACTTGTAATGTGCTGGTGCCCTAGAAAGTGTTCCGTTCAGTCCCTTCCTCTAAGGACAGTCATAACGTTTCATCTTCAGCTCTTATCAGTCCCATGCAAGCCCTTTTAAAATATTTCCTTCGAATCCCTGCCTCTTTAGAAAGAAGAATTTTTGGAGTATAAATGTCCTTGGCTTATCTCCATAATTCCACAGTAAGTTCAAGCGTTCTGCGTCTCTCGCGATTGACGCTGATTCCTTTCGCGGTCGAGGTTAATGTTTCCATTAAGCGTATTAACCAATCAGGATCACAAAAAGGTACGTATGCAGTTCTGGCTTCGGGCCGGATTGATGAAACGTAGATAGGAAAACAATACCAGCTATTCCGACAGGTTTTAGCTGTTGAACGAAGCCCTTGTCGTCAAGAGCATTCAATGCATTCTAACGTGTTTTGCTTTAACTAGTATTTGTATTGATCGTATTTTCTCTGTAAGACCATGTAAACTAAGACGGCCAGAGAGACTGAACTTGCTTATTTGTTGTGGGTTGCTTAGCAATGAATGGTTAAAGTCGAGATTGTTTCCGATATAACATTTTTACAAAAATGGGTTTCAGATTTGTTAAAGCCAAACAGGAATTGATTTGTTACGAACTAGTAAAAATAAAAACACCATCTTAACTGCAAACAACTGAAACGGAAAAGACAAAGCAAAAATAAAACGCTTTGGAAAGCTACCAAGCGAGACTTAAAAAAGCGCACGCCCCCCTGGAGATGCGAAATTGAGGAGAGTGTGAACAGTACTTTTTAAAATCCATGCAAACAATTCTCAAAAAGAACTTAAGGAGATTCAGAGTTACTGTCAAAGATTCCTCCTTTCAAAGAGAGGACCGTGGTGTAGAACTCGTCATATTTTTAGAAGGTTTAACGAAGACGAGATATGGCAGACTGCGGGTCCAACTTAGGCTTGCATCCTTAAAAATGTTACAACTGGTTTGTAACCATATTAAATTAAACATAATGACGAAAAAGGCAAGAATGTGTGACGAAGGGAGAGTTCCCTGCAAAAGTACCTTAGTAGGCTGGGTAACTGCGCCAGAGGGCGGGATTGCGTTCCCTTTTGTCAAATCCGATTACGTCGGTCCGCGACCGCTATTGGTGATATTGGCTGAGTCAATCAGTGTCCAAACAGCTTGTAAAATATTTGGAGCTGGCACTTTTCCCACAACTTGCGTTACTAGCAATATTCATATATAAACTTCATTTTTGAGAAAAATCCATCCTTATGTGCACTTTTCATAATTGTAGTTTTTAACGTTTTGTTTCTTAGGGCACTGTACAATTCTTCGACCTTTGATGTAATCCATACATGATGTAAGAAATCCCTACCTGGGATAAACTTTTGGAATTGTTTTTTTCTCAAACATTTTTTCTATCCCACAGGTTATTTGATCTCATTCGAAGAGAGAAAACACTAGGGAGCAAGTCATCTAGACAATATACTTCGTGTGACAAAAAGAACGTTTCTGGAAATTTGTCATCAACCGGCAAAGATGAATTTAGTACAGCAGCACGGACGAGGATATAGAGCTCTCTCGCAGAGACCTCTCGCAGAGAATCACCGCCCGGCTTCTTATGGTCGCTAAACATTAAGTCAAAAAAGAAATAAGATAAAAAAAACAAATTGTCACTAAAAGCTTGCTTAGTGTACCTGTAATGTCGATCTAGTTTGTGGGCCTCGCCCATACCGTCGGTGATCAGCTTTTAAACAGTTTAAACAGTTTATAGCGAAGAACTGCAAACCCTGTTTGGCCTTGTAGCTTCCATTTTATTTCTTCAACTTTCAACTTGGGTTGTTTACCCCCGCAACTAAAATACATTAGTAAGTGTGTAGTAGGAACCATCTTAGTTAAAGTGCCTATATATGAGTCCTGCACAGACTGATGAAGGTGAAACTCCACATCGAGAATGAATTTAGCTTTCATCGTATATTTGGAAATGTTCAGCATATAGAAAGATTATATTGATTTGATAATCGTGAACAGAATTGAATTAACAAGCAGGTATACATTTTAACATAGTTCTAGAATTATTCTGTATCTTTCCATCTTTATAAGTAGCTCTTACGGGTAGCCCTGTGCCCCAAAATAGGAGGTTTCTCATACGTGCATGCTCCTGAATTTGGCATAAACACTTTACACTATTTGGATTGATTCAATTATCGGCCTCGATCAAGCACTTAATGATCTAATTCCTTCAAACGACGATCTAACCAGCTCAGGGAATATAAGTTTCTTAACTGAGGACAATTGTATTGTCAAGCAGTTAACAGCTTGACTCCCAGGGAATCTTGACGAGTTTCCAAAAATACAAATAAAATTCCTCGACTACCTGAAAGATAAATTTATGACTATTCAAGAAGCAAAACTGACAGAGAGGTTAACTAGAATATTTTTCCAGGCCTCCATTGGGCGAAATGTCGTTCTTTCGTTCGCTTACTCAGCATTCTTTCATGCGAAAACAAATCAATCAACATAAAGTATTTATGACAAAAGTCAGTCCAATCTTCAGAAAAGCCCTTAGGAACCGGATTTCTGGCAGTCAAATGGTATTCAAATTTACAGATTCTTTACTTAAAACTGGCCTTCAATAACATCAAATTGAGTAAATGAATGGCTGAAACTTTCTCCACGTTACGTAGTATTAGGCTCTGCTAGAGCCGTGTGGCCTTGAAGGTGTTCCTATTTGCAGTTATGATGAATGTACCCACTGATATTAATTCGGCAAATAAGAAAGTAGTTCGCGTTTTTTTTGTTGTTGTTGTCGTTGTTTTCTTTATATTACAGAAGTCAGAAAAATATGAAGAAAGTTTTATAACGTTTGCAGTTTTTGACTGAGATCAGCCAAGTTGTTATTTGGTTCCAGATTCAGTCTAAATATGAATTTTTGTTCACCTGTTTTGCCGATGTGAACTTTACTAATTGTGATATAAAAATTCGTGTATTATAGGTCTGCTTGCAACGTAGGCGCTTATTCCTGAAATATCCAAAGATTATTGGATTTGGATATTTATGTACTGGTATTTTTTCTCAAGGAGAGGACTCAGATAAAAAACTATAGGCTTTACTCCGCAGATTTTTTTTTTAAATATAGGGGGTAAGTTTCTAAAGAAATTGTGGTAATGTGTCGGTGGAAGAGTATAACAGGGTAATTCAGTATTATCAACTGAGTCCAACTTGATAACGTAAATTGGCCACCGTAAAGAGTTTCAAAGCTCACGTTTCGAGCGTTAGCCCTTCGTCTCGTTACCCCATTCGTTCTGACGAAGGGTTAACGCTCGAAACGTGAGCTTTGAATCACTTTACGGTGGCCAATTTACGTTATCAACTCAGATTAGTTAAATATCATTATTGATACTATGTCGTGTATTTTTAAATCTTGTACAGCTGTCACGGGCAGATCAATATTACGTAAACACATTTGACACGTTTATCGCCGTTTTATTTTTGTCTCTTTCTTTTCTCAGTCCCGGCTTAAACTTTGAACGTTTACTTACTGTAAAAATCATTCATATTATAACATGTATTTGTAAATCCTGTACAGCTGTTCCAGGCGCGTTAACGCATTTATACGTTTATCTCTGTTTTATTTTTGTCTCTTTATTTTCTTTTCTCTGTCCTAGCCTTGACCTTTAATGTAAACGTGCTTTATCCACGAGCAGTCTGGTAAGATTGCTGAAATATTGATCAAAAGGAAAACATATAGTAAAATGATTTCCGTTTTTAAGATTTTTTTTTTGTTTTTTTTTTTGTTTCTTTCATCCAAGGCGACGTGTTTGGGTTAAGAAACCATTTATGATTAGTTAAGTGCGGAAATATTTTTCAAAATATATCAAGAAATTTAAGGTTGATGAAAAAGCGCAAGCATGTATTCAGAATTCTTCGCACAAGAATGAATAAAAATCTCACCGATGGCAGTAGCATAATAACCACCTGCAGCATTCCCTTCAGTTTTCATTTCAACGTTGAGTTCTAAAATTTGATCAGTCAGGCTTGGGTTAATAAAAGGTGATGCAATGAAAAATTCAATCGCTACCCTATGCTCTTTGCACCTTCCCTGCAAATTTAATTTGCCAGAGCTGAGCGTAGATTT